CCTTAAGACGCACCTAGTTTTTAAAGGAGGAAAACAGGGAAAAAAATATTCTGAACCTTCGGTCCATAAGACGCACTCACTTTTCCTCCCACTTTTTTTGGGAAAAAGTGAGTCTTATGGTCCAAAAAATACGGTATATGCAGAGTACATCATGCGAAATGCTGGCCTGGATGAATCACAAGTGGGAATTAAGATTGCTGGGGAAAAGATCAACAACCTCAGATATGCAGACGATACCACTCTAATGGCAGAAAGTGAAGAGGACCTAAAGACCCTCTTGCTCAGGGTAAAAGAGGAGAGCGCAAAAGTGGGCTTGAAGCTCAACATCAAAAACACTAAGATTATGGCATCCGGCCCCATCACTCCTTGGCAAATAGAAGGGGAAGTCGTGGAAGTAGTGACAGACTTTACGTTCCTGGGATCCCAGATCACCGCAGACTGTGGCAGCAGCCATGAAATTAAAAGACGCCTGCTCCTTGGGAGGAAAGCGATGGCGAACCTAAACAGCATGATAAAAAGTAGAGACATCTCCCTGCCGACAAAAGTCCGCATGGTCAAAGCAATGGTATTCCCAGTAGTCATGTATGGCTGCGAGAGTTGGACTATAAGGAAGGCCGAGCGCCGAAGAATAGATTCTTTTGAACTATGGTGCTGGAGAAGACTCTTGAGAGTCCCTTGGACTGCAAGAAGATCAAATCAGTCAATCCTAAAAGAAATCAACCCTGACTGTTCTCTGGAAGGCCAGAGACTGAAGCTGAAGCTCAAATGCTTTGGCCACCAAATGAGAAGAGAGCCCTCATTGGAGAAGACCCTGATGCTGGGAAAGATTGAAGGTCAAAGAAGATGGGGACGGCAAAGGATGAGATGGTTACACAGTGTCATAGATGCAACGAACATAAAATTGAGCAAACTTCAGAGGACGGCGGAAAACAGGAGGGCCTGGCGAGATCTTGTCCATGGGGTCGCAAAGAGTCGGACTCGATTGTGCGACTGAACAACAACAACAACAACAACAATGTATTTACTTTCATGTAAGCTGCCCTGATCCTCGGTGGGGAGGGCAGGGTATAAATCGGAAAGATAAATAAATAAATGAACGTGAGCGCATATGCGCATGGACCTGCCTGCATTAAAACAAAAACAACCGGGCAGCGGACTCCGTGGTTGAGGCACTGCAGTAGTGTTAGCATCTGACCACCAGATGAGCATGTGGGGAAACTGCCCCAAGGTATGCTGGCTGGCTGGCCTGACCCACAACACTTTAAACTGGTGCAATTAACGGTGCACCCAGATCATGGCAAGCCTCCAGTGTGACCGCAGCCAATGTGGTTTAGGAGAAGCACAGATTCTCAGGGTAGGGGATGGTATGTGCTATGTTTCTGCATGATGCAATGGTTAAGAGTGGTGGACTCTAATCTGGAGAACCAGGTCTGATTCCCCACTCCTCCTCCACACGAAACCTGCTGGGTGTCCTTGGGCCGGTCCCTGTTCTCTCAGGACTTCCTCAGCCCCACCTACCTCACAAGGTGCCTGTTGTGGGGAGGAGAAGGGAAAGGAGATTGTCAGCTGCTTTGAGACTCCTTCGGGTAGAGGAAAGCGGGGTATGAAAACCTACTCTTCTTCTTCATCTCTTTGTTGATGAGAATCAGAAGCATGAGAAACGAAGTAAAAGTTACTTTTGCTCCACATCTCTTGAACGTTTGAAGGGACAGGTCTGACTGCACATTACATCAGGTCTGCGTGACTGAGCCTGTATTACCAGGCCCGTACGCACGGGGGTGCCTGTGAGTGCCCAGCTCCCTCCCCAAACAGCTGTGCTTCCCCCCTCTCTGTGAAGCACACCACCTGGCTTGCCAGGGGAGGGGAAGTGCGCCTCAGCCCATACCTGGCTTGCTGCCCGTGTGACTGTAATGCCTTGAGCTGCTTTGGGAGGTGCAGGATAAAGTTCCTGTTTTTCTCTCCTCTCGGATTGGTTGGCACCAGGGGGTTAAGGGGCTGCTCAGGGGGTTATTGTTCAGCTGCTGCTGCTGCTAGCTAGCCAGCCAACAGAACTAGGTTGTGTCTGTAAAACCTCGAGGGGCTCTCCCAGCTCCTTTGGCAACACTTGCCAGACATTGTGGATCTTCTGGGGGGTAGGCTTTGATTCTGGGGCAATGCACAGAGCTTCTGAGAGAATATAACTCCTGGACACAAATCCTGACTTTTAGTATTTCTGAACTGCCCCAGGGGCTCCTCCTCTTCCTCCTCCCCCCTGTTTTCACCTGTCAGCTCTTACCTGGCCGCGTCTCTCCTCCTCTGTATTTCCCTGACAGCAACAATCCTGTGATGCAGTCAGCTCCACTGTACCTTGCGGGCAAATGTAATGGGGGGGGGGTGGTCTGTGTTTTACACATTGTGTGCTGTTAGATTCAAGTCCAGCAGCCCCTTAGAGACCAAAAAGGGTTCCAGGGTATAAACTTTCAGCAGTCAAAACTCCCTTCAGACACGAGCAGGAAAAAGTCTGGAGTCCAGAGTGGCACCTTTAAGACCAACATGGTTTAACTCTAGGTATCAGCATTCGTGTGCACGCACACGACTTTTGTGGTATCTGAAGAAGCGTGCGTGCACACAACAGCTTATGCCAGTGGTGGCGAACCTATGGCACGGGTGCCAGAGGTGGCACTCAGAGCCCTCTCTGTGGGCACGCGTGCCATCGCCCCAGCCAGGCCCAGGCCATCATTAAAGTGTCGAATTCTCTGCCAAATAATTTTAAGTAAATGAAAGCATTTGGGATTGCTTTCCTTACTTTGTTTGGATCATCTTAAGTTAATGTATGAGTTGTTTTTTCTAAAGTAAAACCTCAGTATTCAGGTTAAACCTCAGTATTCAGGTTAAATTGCCATGTTGGCACTTTGCGATAAATAAGTGGGTTTTGGGTCGCAGTTTGGGCACTCGGTCTCTAAAAGGTTCGCCATCACTGGCCTAGGTATTCTGTTTCAGGAACTGGTTACTAACGGGCGTTTTCTGTCATTTCAGACAGAACCATTTTAGTAACTGGCTCCTAAAAGAATATGTTTACCTGTTCAGACAAACACACTTCTGACCCATTTTGGGGAGGGTGCCTGAAACGTTATTGACTCAAACTGCTTTCTTCCGATCTTCAATCATTCCTACCGCTTCTGAAGCACTATGGGGTGCTGTATAAAATGCCCCATAGTGCTTCCTGCAATAATATATTTTTTTCGTGCACCTTTGCTTCCATGCACAATTGTTCTCTTTTTTTAAATGTTCTATTGGGAGTTCTATGGCATTGAAGCAGGACCACAATCCGATCTTCAATCCTTCCTTCCACTTCTGAAGTGCTATGGGGTGCTGTTTAAAATGCCCCATAGCACTTCCTGCAATGACGGTTTTTTTGCGCCCTTTTCCTCCCCGCATGCGATCATCCTCTTTTTTTTTTAATGCTCTATTGGGAGCGCTATGGCGCTGAAGCAGGACCACAAATTAGGGCCATAGCGACCCCATTGAGATGCCTGGAAACAAGTAGCTAATTGGACAAGTGTTTAAGTGGGAGATCAGGAGCATAAGTGCATGGTGAGACAGTGTCCGATTCCCCATGCATTCGAAATAAATCCACGTTTGAAGAACAAAGTCAAATTTATTATAAAGCGATGGTTAGATCAGGAACACAAGAATTGTTAGGAATGACTACAGACCCCAAAGGGTAACATAATAAAGGAACTTGAACCAGGTTAGGACCAATGGGTCCAATTCCCGCTGGCGGGAATGCAGATAAAACTAGTGCCCAATTCCTTGGGAACACAACGGTTCTACAACATAAACACAAGTTCAGTTCTCAGGCATCAGATACATAATAAGCAAAGCAACGCCATAACTCCATCCCACCTCCAGCTGGTTGACCTTGAGCAGTTCCGCAGATGTAGCAAGCAAAAGAAAGTAAACACCTACACAGGAGGATACAGGGGGGGATGGACAGAGTACAATGTAACATGTAGAATAGAACACACCACCCTATGGCAGCTTGCTGACAGACAGATGTTTGGTCGATTTTTAAAAAGTTTGCTTTAGAGGAAGTGTAGACTCAGGCACACACACGCACGCACACTCTCAATGGTTTGTGGGAGTTAAGGAAGGAAGGAAAGTTTCCTGGGTTTCAAAACTGTCCAGTCCCCCCCACACACACTCTTGAACTCTGTATCCAGTGAGCTCCTTGTTGCCAGGTGACAGCAGTAGCAAATGTCAGTATATCTAAATGGAGTCCAGACATCTCAGTGGGGTCGCTATGGCGCTGGTTTGTTGTCCTGCTTCAGCGCCATAGCGTTCCCAATAGGACGTTTAAAAAAAAACATCTCAGGAAGATCGTGTGCATGAGAGGCAATGGTGGGAAAAGAAAGCGGCTCAGTTTGAAATGACACACCGCTTCAGAGAGAGCTCCTTACCGGAAGGGAAATGCTGTTTGAAACAGCTGTCCCTGTACCGGTTTACTCCATGATGGGACAATAATGGAAAGGTAGTGTGAAAAGGTTCATAGAAGGTGGGAGGGGTGTTGTAAAGAATGCTTGTAAAAGATGCAGGGGTACCATGCCTATTGTAATCAGCTTGATGAGAGCAGAGGGGAAATGCTTGGGGGCAGAAAATTAGCATCTGTAGTGAGATAAGAATCCTATATCCCTATTCAGCCCTGGGGGTCTTCTGAATTTGTGAATTAACTCAAGCTCAGCAATCTCTCATTGTGATTTCCCCTTGAAGTATTTTTGTTTGAGGACTTAATTCTGTGTTGGGAATGTAATCCCAGGAATATGTTGCTGATTTGGATCGCAGTGCACATTTGCAAGGAAAAGAGAATATAGTTGGGCCCCGAGTCTTCTCAAAAAGGATCGCCTCCTTGAGAACAGATCACAAATTAATTTGCTGTGTGTAGGTTTCTTGTTCCTAAGCCAGAACCTTAAACTCTGCCTTATATCCACAGAATATGATCCTGTCCCATTTCTCTCTTTTAGGCGAACAAGCAGGGGAACTGGAAGAAACGCGTGCCGTCGAAACAGATTTGTCGTTCCCACCGAAAACGGACACAGCTTCTGACGAATCGCACACCCACCAAAACAACTGTAACAAACCCAGTCATTTTCAGCAGTCGGTACCCGGGTTTCCTTCTGACAAAGACAATGCAGATAGTGTCGGGAACGAGATCATTAAGCTGACAGAAGTACAGGCAGCTGCAGAATTGGAAGAGAGCAGAGCACAATGCCGGACCGAGAGCCAGACGGCAGGTCAGCCAGAGCTCAGCAGCTTCTCTGAAGGCGAGTCCCCCTCCTCCAGCCCTCCGCCCTCTGACTCCGCAGAGTCAGGCAACGCAGATGAAAATCAGTCTCTGGAAGAAGAGGACGGGAGCTCAGACAGCGACGCCGAGAACACAGGCAGCGAAAAGGATGAAAACGGGGGCAGGTCTGCCGATGACAGGAACTTTGAAGAACTCATTCTTCCAAATCCAGACTTGAGTTATGTCCCAAATGATTCCCCTGAAGCTGTGAGAGAGAGTCCACTTGGGCAGGACTCATTATGAATAGGTCAGCCGTCGTGCTGTTTGCGAAAGGGTTGTGTTCGCCAAATCCTCAAACGTTCCCAGTTTCCTCCTTTTGGCTGCTGTAAATATTGAGGCCAAGCGGGTGTTAAGATCAGAGCGGGTATCCCAGGGTTTGTTTTAAAAGGTATCCTGACTGACATTCACAATGGTATGTTTAATTTAAAAAAATAGGTTAATATAAAAATAGAACAGGATTAAAACGATGGCCTTCAGAATTCCAGCCTCTGCTGTGTGCCATGATTAACATTACATAATGAAGAATAGCGAGATTCGTTACTCCATCATTTTGTTTTTTTCCCATGTCAGTTCTATCTCCATCTCTTTAGAATATATATTTTTGGCACAGTCCCTACTTGAATGTATCGTAAAGACTCGTGAGGAAGAGAGAGGTTATTTAGTGTTCGTTAAACAGAGTTTGCGGCTTCAGACCAACACAGTCACCCACCTGGATCTATCTTTGTAGTGTTTGGTTAAGTTCATGGAATTGGAAAGGATCCAATAGAAAAACTCTGATCAGCAAGTGTCTTGTTTCTGTATTCGCCCCCCCCCGCACCCCGAACAGACACTAGTTAACACAAAACAAAATGATGGCCCGATACAACCCATGCTCCATGTGCACAGTGGCTAGCCATGTGTCAAAGTCTAGACTTCCAGAGGATTTATTTTGTGTTCCACTTGAATGGGCTTTTACAGTAAAGTACTGAGGCACAAGTGAAAATGTGACAGAGATGTGTATGCACATGTGCGTTCTGATTTTTCTCTTCTTGTGGGCAAGGTACCCCTCATCAGGGGTCTTTTAGGGCTGGAGCGTGCCGGAGCGCTGCTCCGGGAGCCCAGGAGCTGACAAAATGGCAGCGGCCGCAAGCCCCGCCCCCAGCTCCCCGCACTGCGGCCCGTCGCCGTCTTCCCGAGGCCCACACCAGAATGCTGCGGCCCCGGGGAGGCTGGAGGAGGCCCGTCGCTGCCTTCCCGGGGCCCGTGCTGGAGCGCTGCAGCCCCGAGGAGGTCTGTCGCTGTCTTTCCAGGGCCCGCACCAGAGCCCTGCGGCCCCAGAGAGGCCGGAGGAGGCCCGTCACTGCCTTCCCAGGACTCACGCCGGAGCGCTGCGGCCCAGGGAGGCCCAAGGAAAACCGTCGCTGTCTTTCCAGGGCCCGCACCGGAGCCCTGCGGCCCCAGAGAGGCCAGAGGAGGCCCGTCACTGCCTTCCCGGGGCTCACGCTGGAGCGCTGCGGCCCCAGGGAGGCCCATCGACGTCTTTCTGGGGCTCGTGCCGGAGCGCTGCTGCCCCAGGGAGGCTCGAGGAGGCCCGTCGCCGCCTTCCTGGGGCCCATAGCAGAGTGCTGTGGCCCCAGGGAGGCCTGTCGCACCTTCCCAAGGCCTGCGCCAGAGCGCTGCGGCCCCGGGCAGGCCGGAGGAGGCCTGTTGCCACCTCCCCGGTCCAGCGCCAGAGCGCTGCGGCCCGGAGGAGGCTGGAGGATACCCATCGCCGCCTTCCTGGGCCAGCGCCGGAGCGCTGCATCCCAGAGGAGGTCGGAGGATGCCCGTCGCCGCCTCCCTGGGCCAGCACTGGAGCGGGGTAAGTGAGGGATCCACGGGGGGTGGTGGTGGCAGAGGCTTGAGTGGGGGGGTGGGAGAGTCTCCCCCTCCCCCCATCTCTTTGCCCTCTTTCTTTCCCTCCTTTCTTTCCCCTTCCTTTCCTTTTTCTCCTCCTTCTTCTTCCCTTCTCTTGCTTTCTTTCCCTCCTTTTTTCCTTCTTTTTCTTTTCCTCTTTCCTTCCTTCTTTCTTTCTCTTTCTTTCCCTCTTTCCTTCCTTCTTTTCTTCTCTCTCTCTCTCTCTCTTTCTCTCCTTCCTTCTTTCCTCCTTCTGCAGCCCAACTCTTCGCTTCCCCTCCCCCCAGGGAAGGGAAGGGGAGGCATTTGACGATGCCTTCCTCTCCTCCTTTTGCTTCCCCTTCTGACATCTCTTCCAGTGATGTCAGGGGGTGTTGCATATGCTAATGAGCTACTATGCTAATAGCCTAGTCACTCATTAGCATACCGTATGCTAATGCGCTCCTGCAGCTCTTTTTCTACAAAAAGACCCCTGCCCCTCATCCCTCTCCGTACATTTCCTGTCCTGTCCTTCTGCCTTTATTTGCTGCGTAACTGCTGTTCAGGCAGCTTCAGACCTTGGCTTTCCTGTAGTTTGTTCCTCCAGGCTTGGCTCACGTTTTGGATGGTATCGAGTAGAGGTGGTACATTCTGGGAGTGAACCCAGAGCTCCTCCCGTTTTGAAACAACCTCTTTAGGGCATGACGAAGGGAGAGTTTGAGGCTTGGGTATGCTCTGGGATTTCATTTGGGACATGCTAAAGCTGCTTGCGCTCATGAAGAGGGGGGGAAAATGTTCCGTTTCTTTCTGCGCTGCGGTGGCTTAAGTGGTTAAGATGCTTAACTGCAGGATGTGGAAGGTCGGTAGTTCAGCAGTTCGAGACCCAGGTAGCCGCATGACGGAGTGAGCTCCCGTCTCTCGTTCCAGCTCCTGCCAACCTAGCAGTTCAAAAGCAAGAAATTGCAAGTAGATAAGTAGGTACCACTTTGGTGGGAAGGTAACAGCGTTCCGTGCGCCTTGGTGTTTAGTCATGCCGGCCACATGACCACGGAAATGTCTTCGGACAGCGCTGGCTCTTCGGCTTGGAAACGGAGATGAGCACCGCAACCCTAGAGTCGGATTCAACTGGCTTTCGAGCAAGGGAACCTTTAGCTGTGTGCGCTCATGAAGAGGGGAAATTAATGTTCCGTTCCTTTCCCCCTTTCTGAGCCTCGCTTATAGTTGCCGGAATGACCCTCCTTGGTAGCCATTTCCCTTTTTAAAAATCTTTCCCACAGTGGCAATCAAGGGCTGTCAGGGAGGAGAGCGTCTGGAGGCCCTCTGGGCCCGCAGAGTGAATGCTGGTGCCGCCCAGTCTCCGTGGTGATGCTGAAGCGGTGCTCCCTTGTTCCCAGGAGGACAATGGCTGCCGAATATTTGCTGTTGTTACTTTACAACTGTTGAACTAAAAGGGAGAGCCACTTTCTGGCTGTTGTCCCCCCCCCCTCAAAATGGAAAACAATCTTAGCAGCTGTGGAGCTGGCCTGGGCCTCCAGCCGTAGAGGCAATTTCCCCGCTGGCTTGGGAACCTAATTGCCTGTAAACGTTCATTTCTCACTCCTAAAACTTAAAACCCATTGAAGAGAGGATTAATCCAAATTTAACAATGCTGCTTATAAGAAAGGGGGGGGGGATCCTTCTTGTACCGAGCCCTTTTTTGACAAAATAAATCACTGCCAGCTGCACATTATTATGGCTGCCTCATCAGAAACTCCAAAAGTGCAGGGCTCTCGTTGAAAACAGTGGCGGGCCCGTCTCCTGTCAGCAAGCCCAGCTAGATAGCAGGTGTCACTACGTTCGAAAGGCTAAGTCAGCAGGCAGGTTGGCCTGAGCGGTATGTGAGGCCCTTGTTCAAGAGGTGTAAAATGGTTTCCACGTGGTTGGAAGCCTCTCAGTGACTGCAGCAGCTATTGGTACTGACAGGTGCTACAGTCAGGCAGAGCCATCAGCATGGGGACCCTTCTTGCCGTACTACAGAGAATCAACAAAATCCCAGTGAACAGAAAACCGAAGCAGGAAGCTCTGTGCAGCAGCCATCAGAGCCGATAGCTGCTACAGCGAGCCAGAGGCTCCCAGCTAAGCGATTTTCTTTTTTTTTTAGGCTTCTTATGGGAATCCAGGCGAGGATTATGGAATGTTTATGATCCGAGCCAATGATATTCTCAGTATCAGGAAACATCTGCTCCGGGCATGAAAAGAACTCCCTCTGAAATGGTCCTTGAATATTCCCTTGCTCTTGGGCATGTGCACCCTTCTGCTATTGATATCCCACCTGTTTCTGAACCACAGTGGTTTGTTTCAAATTAAAGGTTGCATTAACTTTAAAAAGTTGAATCACTGATTAGCTTGCATAATTTCATTTCTCATAGTGCCGTGGAAGAAGGGGGGGGGGAGATTACATAATCTCTTGAATTTGTGGCACTCTTGCTTTTATTGATAGAGTGGCTGACAACGTTATCAACTCCACACAGCACTCACGCTTTTATTGGTAAAATAACAGATAGCCTTATTGTCTCAATTTGTTGTTATAGGAATGACAAAACTGATAGAGTGGGAAGAGTAATGAATATGCACCAAACTCATGAATGTGAAGTTGAGGAATTTTGCTCATCATAAATAAGGCGTTCCACTTCCCACTGTTTGTTTCAAGATGTATATTTCTTCCCAGTTTTGTCATGGCCCGATAAGGACTGCGGCTAACGCTGATGAAGTTGTGGTGTGGGACAGTAGTTAAGAAAGGGGTGTAGCTTTGTGTAAACCAAGACTGCACCACTCATGGCCAGCGTTCTGCAGTGCAGTGGAGTTAACAGTGGACATTCACATTTTTGTCTCTGGAGTCCGGTCCAAAGCCCAGGGGTGTCCCTGGAAACACTGACACTTGAGCTCAGGGGTTTCAGTTGAGCGGGAAGGTTGTGGTTTGGGCCTATGGCTGCCAACCTTCAGATACCACCTGGACATCTTCTGCTATTACAATTGATCACCAGGCAGCCAAGATCAGTTTCCCTGGAGAAATGGCTGCTTTGGAAGGTAGATGGTATGGCATTATATCTTGCTGAAATCCCTCCCTTCCCTAAACCCTGCCCTCCCCAGGCCCCACCCCCAAATCCTCCGTGTATTTCCCAACCCAGAGCTGGAAACCCTAGTTGGATCCTACCACCCGTCTGTGTATGGAGCCTTCCACCCGCCCTCTGTTCTCTCGAGGAACTAAATCTGAGTTTCTCTGTGTGTAAAAGCAAATAGAAGCTAACCCCCCCCCCCCAAATGGCACATCTGGCTATTAATGCAACTGTCGCGGGCATGCTGCCCTCCTACATTAGAGCCTCCGTGGCATGTGCTTCAGTTACCCAGCAAGAGGACATTTGGTGACCTGCAGTCTTGGCATAGCCTTTGCCCTTTGTGACTATATCAGTGAAAGTGCTCGTTGAATTCCTCCTGTCATCCAAAATCCACCACGGAAGTGGTTCCTTTCTTTCCCTCCCCTACATTATAGCTGTGTATCGGTCCGTATAGCTACATGGAAATATTAATTTGCCACATTTGAAACCTGAATTATCTGGACCTTTTGGGTTTTCTGTCGACGGCAGAGGGAAACCTGTCCTGATGGCATACCTGAGCTTGTAGAAACGCCATCCTTTCCCAGCATTACTTTGTAGAAAAGAGCAAGGGTCCAGCAGCACCTCAAAGACTAACAAAATTTGTGGCAGGGGATGAGTTACTGCTCACGGAAGCTCATACCCTGCCGTAAACTTTGTTAGTCTTTGAGGTGCTGCTGGACCCTTGCTCTTTTCTCCTGCTACAGACAGACTAACACAGCGACCCATCTTGATCTACCTTTACTTTGTCTTTTGTTCCTTGGCCATTCCAATTCTTTCTTCTTCTTCTTCTTCTTCTTCTTCTTCTTCTTCTTCTTCTTCTTCTTCTTCTTCTTCTTCCTTCTTCCTTCTTCCTTCTTCTTCTTCCTTCTTCTTCTTCT